TGTAGCAGACATGGTGAATGAGCATCGCCAAAATGGTTATGTAGTGACACGAAATAAAATATGTTTGTCTGCACTTCAGTGGGCCAAATCTAACCCAGATCACAGCAACAGATTTAAGGCCACTGTATCTTGGTGTACTAGATTCTTGAAAAGGCATAATATGGTACTGAGGCAAAAGACAAAAATGGCACACAAATTACCTGCAGATCTTGATAGCAAAGTAATTAGTTTCCATCGATACGTAATACAACAGCGCATTAAACATGGCTATGCGTTAAGTAGTATTGGAAATATGGATGAAACTCCAATGAATTTTGATATGGTTGGAAATAAAACTGTCCATCAAAAAGGTGAAAAAACAATTTTAATTAAAACAACAGGACATGAGAAGTCCAGTTTTACAGTGGTACTAGGATGCACAGCTGATGGTGCCAAACTGAGACCAATGATTATTTTTAAAAGAAAAACAATGCCGAAACTCAAGTTCCCTGTTGGTTGTTTTGTACATGTGAATGAAAAAGGCTGGATGGATGAAGAAGGGGTAAAGCTATGGCTTGATAATGTATGGAGCAGGCGACCAGGTGGACTTCTTCAAAAACGTAGTCTACTGGTGTGGGATATGTTCAGGGCTCATTTAACTCCCAGCACCAAGCAAAGGCTTGCAAGAATAAACACAGATGCGGCAGTTATTCCTGCAGGATTGACATCGTTGGTACAGCCACTGGATGTGTGCCTAAACAAGCCATTTAAAGATCGCATTCGAGAACAGTGGAATGAATGGATGGTTAGCGGCGAAAAGTCATTCACAAAAGGAGGAAACATGCGTGCTCCACAGTTGGATGTTTTGTGCAAGTTTGTCATAAAAGCCTGGAATGATATTGATGCAGAAACAGTAATCAAGTCTTTCAAGAAGTGTGGCATATCAAATTCATTAGATGGTATGGAGGATGACTACTTGTGGCAAGATGAAGAGGAAGCTGAAGCTGAGACCACACCATCTGATACGGAATTCGATCCATATGATGACTGCCTTACAAATGTACCACAAGATGTCATTGATATTTTTATGATATCAGATGATGAACAGGATGATTTTGAAGGCTTTTAAAGGGAAACTGTCACGCAAGCAAAACCTGTAAAAATAGCTTGCAGTTATGATGGGCGTTGCTGACTTGCCCGGCACTTGCTCTTTCTATTGTTTTTTATCTTCCTCCTATCATCATCAGTTCAGTTTGGTTGACAGCTTAGAAAACAAACAGCATGGCAGCTCCCATGGTTTTATTGTCTTATCCTTCCTTTCAGCTTTAGAGTGAATTAGGAAAAGTTTAATCCACTTGCACTGTTTTATGTTTATATGTTTGATGACAGCCTTATGTTTATAAATGACAGTTTTTCTGCTAAGTACCTGCATGTCATAAGCATTTGAATTAAAATTACCATATTGAAATCAAATCTGATGTTTTTTAATTTTTATTTGGTGTGCGTTGGAAGAGGGGTAGTCTTATACGGTGAGTATAGCCCAAACTCTATATTTTAACTGGAAAAGTTGGGGGTCGTCTTATATGCCCAGTCGTCTTATACGCCGGAAAATACGGTACTGAGAATCTAGGACAACTGACCACAGCCAACTCGCTGTGAGACAACTCAGTATTGGATAATTTTTGTTAATGGAAATAATGTCAAAGAAACAATGGTGGATAACATTTATTGCACTGAGTTATCCTGTGTGGAATTGTCCCTCAGTGAGTGGTCCTGCAGCAAGATGACCACAACAAGATAGCCATGCTGGGTTAGCCATGGCAAGATGGCTGCAGAGAGTTGGCCGCAATGAGTTCTCCTATTCCACTTACTGACCCCCATATATTCTGGCAACAGCAAGTTCAGATGAAATGAATGGCTGAATTTAATTACACTAACCTGCAAAGTGTCTATGTAATATAAGTGGAAGTAGTTTAAGTTGTTCATTCTTTATTTAAAAAATAATGATTCTATCTAATTTCTTGATTCTCAGACAGTACAAATACATGTGTGATTCTTTTAAGAAAAAGAATTTTTTTCAGGACGTATTTCTATATTACTTTAGTTATAATTCAGTATTAGTGCTTTCCAATTTAATGGAAAAAAACTTTGATTTCAAGTTTTAGTTTGTTTCAGCTGTTCAATGTGTTTGATTATATATGGAGATCTGTTATAAAAATAATAATGTGACACAAAGATATTCATGATCTAGTGGTGCAAAATTTACATTTGCATTTAAATTTATACCTTTTCCGGGATAAAAGTATTCAGTTCCTTCAACCTTTCCTCACCATAAAGAAATATGGTGAGATTTGTGAGATGATCTAGTTGTGGATTGCATGGGAAAGTTTAGCTGTGAGGGACAAATCTTTTGGTTTAAATATGTTTTATTGTAGCTAGATGTTGTTTTATTTTATGGTTGTGAACTGTCCAGAGTTTGGATAAAATAAAATAAAGACTCTGGCATAAACACTGAGATTATTCTCAATTATTTTTCACTTCCTTTGTCTAAATATGCTGCAATTTCTTTTTTCAAATAAAACAGAGGAAGTAGCCTCTTACATCTCACATGAATTATTTTAATCTGGAAGGATCAATTATGCTACCAGAAAAAAACTTTGAGGCAGAGTCTTCGGTGTAGCAGTTAAATTGACAGTCAAAATTTCTCAGGAAAACAATGTCACCCAGCTTCAGAGAAATGCAATGAGGGGGGAATCCATTGGAAGACTGGAAAAGAAGACTGGAAAAGAAGCACCAGAATTAAGCTTCAGTAGATATAAGAATTGTATTTTCACCCTGACAGAGCAATCATCTATTTAAATGATTTCAATCAAATATGTACAAAATAGATTCATATCCAGATGTGCTGTGTCATGTATTAGAAAGTCTTCAATTGAGTTGGGATCTAAGAGCTACATCAAGACAAAAAAGTCTAGAAATTACTGCTGAGTTCTGATCAGTAGTGTTGAATGCTACTGTACTCTATACCCAAGATAAAGGATTAAAATAGTCTCATTTAGCAAAGACAGCATTGCAAATTAGCTAATTTTATTGCTTTCATTACATTCCTTATCTCTTGCTGAATGAAGTTGCCTCAGGGGTAGCAAGATAAAAGACCTCTCTGCTGAAAGATGGCAATTATTTGAAATGGGCTGAACTCATTTTGAGTAATACTCAAATCCTATGTCTGGTGGTTAAAGAGAGGGAAGCTGTAACAGAGGAAAGAGGACTAACTTGTAGAAACATCTCAACTCATTTCTAATAGCTGACTTTAGGAAATAGATCTGGGAGAATTTATTGATTCTTCTTAATAATTGGATAAGTTGGATATAACTGTAATTGGATAAGTTGGATATAACTGTAATTCTCACTGTGTTAAAAAAATAACTGCATAGTTAATCCCTATGTTTAGAGAAAAAATGTTTTCTTCCCTCTTCTCTTCTTAAAGGTCTAATGTCATTTAACTTTGGATACGTTCCCAGAGATTAATTGATTATGTGCCATCAAGACATTGTTGATTCATAAATTTTCTTCATAACAATCTATCTCTAGTCTGGTACTTTAGGTCTTCCAGTGTATACACATTGCTACTGACCATCCTCTTCTTCTTTCTAAAGGAAATCAACCCTGACTGTTCTTTGGAAGGACAATGCCGACAATACTGAAGCTCAAATACTTTGGCAATCTAATGAGTAAAGAGAACACATTGGAAAAGACTCCAATGTTGGGAAAGAATGAAGGCAAAAGGAGAGGGGATGGCAAAGGATAAGATAGTCATATATTTTTACTGATGCAATGAACATGAATTTGGACAAACTCTGGGAGACTGGGGAGGACAGGGGAGCCTGGCGTGCTGTGGTCCATGGGGTCACAAAGAGTCAAACATGATTTAGCAACTAAACAACAATAAAAAATTCTCTTCTGTTTCTTTCCACCATTCCTAGCATTTAGAGATCTTCTCCAGAGAATTGGGTTTTCATTTAGGGTATCTGAAATTGTAAAATTTCAACCTGGTCATTTGTTCCTCAAGTGAGAACTCTAGGTTGATTCCTTTGATGATCCATTGGTTTGGATTCTTGGCTTTTTACTGTATTCTCAGGAGTCTTCTGGTGAGAACAGATTTCTGATTGTAGAATATAACAAATATTTTTCCACACACATATCTGATTAATTTAACATACCTTGGCAAGGTACAAAACTGGTATGTACGTTGCCAAAGTCTACATTTTTGAGAAAGAGATCAGAACAGTTACTGGTTGGTAACTGACTTCTCTAATTCTGTTAGTCTTTAGCCTAGGAGTTTTGCTCCCATACTAATCCAGCTCTGGACTTGATATGTTTAAGAGACCTCTAAGGATACCGATGTAGTACATTGTACACTAGAGCTAAACAAATTGTTCAAGATGGGTGGGGTTTTTTGAAAGACTACATATAAAACCTTTTTGCATTGTTAGTGCTTCTTTTTCCTATTTTCATATTCCCACTGCTGCTTCAGAAACTGCCCCATATGCTGCAGCATGTGTATCCATGCACAGTTACTTTGCTTCCCCTGCCAACCCCAGCAGCTGGCTTTCTATTTCTGAAAAATATCCAAATGAAGTTCTTCCAAGAGATATTGTGAAGTAGTATGCCATGATCTAATATGATCTAATATATTTCCTCTTAAGTGATCACACCTTCCCCTTAACCTTAAAATCTGGGCAAGAGAATAAAAACCTGATACCAATACAGGGCTGAACTCATGAATTCTGTACTTGAGTTGATTCTATTTTCCTTTCAGGGTTGTTGTTTTAAAGCCATGTGAGAGCCATGTGAGAGGTTGTCAGTCACCAGCATGAGAGACCTGCTTGGACCCTTGTTTGTGTTGGCAATGTCCCATGAGTAACTTCACACAGAGTCCCTAGCAGTACTGGCATGTGGATTATCACCACTCACCTCTCAAGACATCTTAGAATAATAAACCAGTAATTGAAAGGCGAGTTTAATGCTGCTGTTGCAGTGAACCAAGACTGTTGAATGATTAGCACAGCAAGCAGTGCAGTGAAGGTGCTGAAAGAGTCTATTAGTTTGCTTAGTCTCAGTCAGCATGAAGTATTAATACAAGCTCTCTGCAAACAAACAGACACAGCCAAGGAGCAAAGTGGGTAAGATCAACTTCTTCAGCACTTTCTGTCTGGACCTTCCAACAAGAAGAAAAGGTAACAAGAAGAGTCAACATGAAAGGTCAGATTAGTAAGTTTTGCCTTATACTTAAAACAAATGATCATCAATAAACAATATGTTTCATAATTCATTAACAATCAAAATGTAATTGTGATTAATAATAATTACAACAGCTATTACATACCATGACTATTAGTATTATTAATAGTTATCTGTAATATTTAATAATTCCTAATACAGTGGATTGTTGGTAATTTTTTTCTTTCAGTTCTAAAGTTTAGGAGATTGAAATCTCTTTGGAACTTAATTCAACTTTATTGCCATCCCATTCAGTATTCTTGACAGCACTTCCAAAGGGAATCCCCATTGTTTCTTCTGGAATCTATTTTTACTTCCTAGGGTGACCTACAGTTCTGCTAATTCCTATTGATCTTCCACCAAATAGTAAATACGTGCAATATTATTTAGCTTTCAGAGATCAGCCAAGGTCAACTAGATTCTTCCACCATAGTAGACTCAAACGTTAGAGATTAACGTCAAAAAAACCATGTTCTTTAAGAGAGAAAAATAGCACAAGATAGTTACACTTTTCTCCTAACATTGCACCAATATGCTAAAAACCTAAAAAAGAATAATAACGTGTAATAGATTTAAACTGATTTAATAAAGATTCCTTCTCTCAACATCAGAGGAAATCTTTAATGGAAATTTCTCAGTTCATCCCCCAAATTATGATTTGTTGGGCCTTTAATGGAAGCTTCCAAGGCCAAGGTATTTCAACATACAAATGTTTGATATGTATAGAGAAAATTTTCCACTGTTATTTTTTGTGAGCATGGAACATTTTCTACCTTACATATTCCCTTACTTTTGAAAAATATTAGTTGTAGCTTAACATGTTTCCATCTTCAATTAGTATGCTACAATTAACTTGTTTTCTCTTCTAATGTAGGCTTTTTTTTCTAAAGAATGCCTACTACATGAAGAGGAAGAAAAATAAACACATATACACACAACCCACATAATTAAAATAGTTTATTATTTTTCTAAATCAAATAATTTTGGTCACTTTGAATCTGACAATGTAGTTCTGCACAAACCTATATAAACACCAATATTACTAACTTCAGTGAAATTTATTTTCAGTTAAAATCTGAAGCTTTCATGCTCTTCTGTATACATCAGCAGGTGCATTTTGCATGCACACTTAATTCATTTAACCAATTTTATAACCTGCCTAAAGTCTGGCAAACCCTGAGCAGTGTAGAAGTAAAATTCAGTAGAAAACCAAAATATAACATTCCAAGTAAATTGATCCTCACAGGTGCCACCTCTCAGTCTCTCCCTTCTAAGGAGAGAGTTGCTCCAGAGAGTATAAACTATTTCAGAAAAGAACTTCTATTTAGTCCATATTGCTCATACTTTGGGGGCATTCTCACCTTTTCTAGAAAACAAAATCAGATAATCAGATCTATTTCAGGCAAGCCACTGACTGATATATCCTGATGCAGTGCCTTAAAGGCTACTAATCACTAGTAGCCTGTAAGGCACTGGGAGCTCATTGACAATCAGTGCAGTGACTTTGAAGTTATTGGTGTTATCTGAGATTGGCCAGATTAACTTGCCAGTAGCCTAATTGTCATATTTGCTACCAGTTGCAGTCCCAGGCCATCTCCAGAGGCAGCCCCATCAAGGGTTACAGCAGTAATCTAGTTAATAAACAAGATAAGAGCCATTGTCATCATTGCATTTTGGTCCAGGTGCAGCTTAATATCTCCATGCAGATGGCATTCATCTGCCTTCACATAGATTAAATCTGGCAATTTCAATGACCCTTAAAAGTTACCTCAGCAAAAATGTTCTTGTAATTTACCCTGACAATATTTCAAGGTATCTCTCAAAGGCAAATGATAAGGCCAAAAATGCAGGCCTCATAGCTGTATGAAACTCATAACTTCTTATTGCTAAAGATGCTACATTACTGAAGATGTTGCATGAATCCTTGCCAGAAGAAACTACAAGATATGCGCAATACTTTTCCTGCTACAACACCGAATTCTATGAGAGTGTAGGAAGCATGGAAGCTATGAGTATGTCAAATGAAAGATATGTAAGACATTTTGAGAAAAAAAGTAATATTCCATGCTTTTAAAAAGATTATGTTATTTTAACATAGGCATAGAGGTATGCCCTGGGACTTTTTTAATGAGTAGCCCTAAGACAAACATAAAACAGAACAAGTTATATATTCTATATCATACAATCAGTGGGTCAGGTGCATAATAGAAGCATTCCCCATACTCTACAAGATTATGGACATAAAGTGTTTTCCTGAATCATAATATATATGTATTTATATTTTTCATACCCTGAGTGGAGCTATGTGGACAGTGCTGGGATACAGCCCAGAAGCAAATATGTCACATTGCTCTCTACTCCTTATTCATGTTGATTTTTCATGTTTGTTTTTCTTTCATTTATGCAAATGAAAGATTCTCAGATGAACCATTTGAAATATTCACCATGTGATGATGAGCGCACATCTACAGGTATACTTCCAATGAAAACAAATTTCCCCAGAGTTTAGAAATAGAAATATAAAAGAGAAGGAGAGTGCCAAACAGTGAGGCATTTGTTAAGCTCTCTCCCTCTGCTTTTATATATATTTGCGTGCGTGCGTGTGTGTGTGTGTGTGTGTGTGTGTGTGTGTGTAAAGGGACTGGGCTGGATCAGTACTACCTGTTACAACAGCATGCAACTTGTGATGGATTATGAGCTCACCTATTTTTTTACATTGATGGAAGTAATGTTTGCAGGACATTCTAGAGCAACCCTCACTATTTTCTACTTCTTTCTCTATAGCTAAACTCAAAAAGGAGAAGGAAAATCAGTGTAGATGTGGGTATACATGGGGCAGAAGCAATTGATGTGATATATGTTATGGTGTCATTGTACAAATTAGAAACATGCTATAATTGTGATTTCTAGATGCTATGTCAGGTAGACCACAGAGCTGGTGAAGGTGCTTGTCAGAAATGGTGACTGTCAAAGTACAATCAAAGCCTCATCCCCTTTTCACAGGTATTTTGATGTTTGCTGAAAGAAATGGGACTTGGCTTGCCTGATCACAATTGTCACCTTTATTTTTTTACCTATCTACTTTCCACAAAAACCTCATATAAAAAGTGAGTGATGAGGGCAAACTGATCTAGAATTAGCATCTGGCCAACAGAGTCCTATTACTACTCGTTGGAGCTTCCTATATTTATTGCTTTCTTGTTTATGTTGAAAGAAAAATCTTCATCAGGGTCCAGTCCAAGCAGGGAATAAACAAAATGGAGACTGCTTTAGAAAAAAGGTTCTTGTTTATTTAGTTGCCAGAAACTTCAGTGACAGCAGCATGTTTCTGGGGTGTCTGACCATCTAGAGTTGGGAGTGGTCGGTTTTTATACCTTCTTGGGCTTTTGTGTTTGGAATTGTTCCTGTGTGAGGCTGTTCCTGTGGCATGAACTTTGACCTGAGGTTCTGTTCACTGTGCGCTTTTGGTATTCTAAGGGTGATGGGTTAATTCTATTGTGTTCTAAAGGTCATGTCCTGCTTCTCTGGGGCTAGGCTAATGGCTTACTTCCTGTATTGGATTTTTTGGCTGAGGGTTTGCTGGTTTTAATTCTATCACTCTGCTATTGTTAGCTATCAAATCTTGCTCCAAGGGATTTTGAAATATTTTCTCTTGAATGGGCTTCTGTCCAGTAGCATTTGCTCATGAATGAGGCTTCAATCTTTCTGAATGGGATTATCAAATCTGCATTTCTACAGAGCTGGCCTGCTTAGTTTCTGCTTGGGGCTATTAAGAAAAACTGGACTTGCTTTTCTGCCTTTAAGATCCTTTGGGGAAATATAATATTCTGCCTTTTTAATATTCCCCAAAATATTTCTTTCTCTGGAGGGGGCTGACTTCCCTCATTTATAACACTTACTTTCTTTTGAATCAAACAAATACCATTTTATTCTTATAGCTACAATATCAGAATGATGTTAAAATGTGAAACTGCAGATGCTTGATCTATTTCTTAAAGTATAAATTAATCTTCCCCCACTTTTTTTGCTAGATCTGAATACAATACTGATCTGCACACATACACTTATACACACACAGAGAACAGAAAGCTTTACAATTAGGCAATGCTTAAATCAATCAGGTGATTAACACAATGTTTTCCAGAATAATAAAAAGGACTGAAACAATTAAATACCACCCCTCACTCTAATTATAAGCATATACTTAGAATATTTTAAACAATATTTTAACATCTTATGGAGCAAAGAGTACACAAATGGTAATAGACCCAATTTTAAAGCACCTTAGGATTTTGTTTTCTTTTTCACCAAGAAGTGATTTAAATGATTAAGCCAAGCTGCCATCAGAGTTTTCAGTTTATCAGAGTAAATGATCCACTTTATTATTATTATTATTTTACTATCCAAGTAGATTGACTAGGTGAGAAGAATATAACTGCAGAATGAGATAATAGTTTAGGAGGAGCAAACAAAAGGTAATACAATAAAACATCAGGGACAAAAGGAATCACGGGTAAATAGATGTGTGTGAATCATTATTCAATCAGCAAAAGCAGTGAAGCTTTCCAGATGACTAGGTTATAGGAATATTTTCTGGTTAAATTATTTAAAATGAAAGTATCATAATAATGGAGATTTAACTTTAGAACTTGAAGAGAACATCAACCAATCTGAGTTTCACATTGCTGCCTCTAAACTGGCCAATAGCAGAAGATTTTCCCTGGCTCATTTATTTACTCTGGCAGCTGTTTGGAGCAAACTTTGCCATATATTTTCCTTCCAGGAAATGTCACATTCATTTTGCTGATAATTAACTAAATATTTTTTTTTCTTCACAGAGTGACAGAAGGTACAAGATCAACTGTCCTTAAAGTGTCACTAATCAATACAGAAAGCTAGGTGAGGATCAAAACAACGAAGTAGGATTCCATGTCAGAAGCTAATGAGAAAAAGAGCTCAACATGGATAATGTAATAATAATAAATAATATTAATAATAACAACAACAACAACAACATTGGAAGGGAACATGAAGGTCTTCTATCCAACCCTCTGCTCAGGAGGAAACCCTATATCTGTGGTGGCGAACCTATGGCACGTGTGCCACAGGCGGCACGCAGAACCATCTCTGGTGGCACGTGAGCCATTGCTGGGCTGAGCTGTTCCCTCCTCCTCTCCACGCATGTGCAGCTCTCCGCACATGCGCAGTCTGGGAATAGGTGAGAGATTATAAAAGGAGCAACTTTCGGCGGAAGCAGCATTTGCTGCAGACAGCGAGAGAGCGAGCACGAGTCGGAGCGGACAGCAAACCAGCGAGCGAGTGACCGTAAGCTGACAGCTCAGTGGCCACACCCACTCAGTGGCCATGCCCACCCGGCACCTGGCAATGCATAAGTGGGTTTGGGTTGCAGTTTGGGCACTTGGTCTCCAAAAGGTTTGCCACCACTGCCCTATATCATTTCAGACAAATGGCTGTCCAATCTCTTCTTAAAAATTTCCAGTTTTGGAGCATTCACAGCTTCTGGAGGCAAGTTGTTTCACTGGTTAATTGTTCTAACTGTCAGGAAGTTTCTCCTTAGTTCTAGGTTGCTTCTCTCTTTGGTTAGTTTTCATTCATTGCTTCTTGTCCTGCCTTTAGGTACTTTAGAGAATAGCTTGACTCCAGTGGTGGGATTCAGCCAGCTCGCACCACTTCAGCAGAACTGGTAGCTAATTTTTTGTTGCCCGGGCCCAGAATGGACTTCCAGAAGCGGCATCCACACAGAGAACCAGTTGTTCACATATCTGAATCCCACCACTGCTTGACTCCCTCTTTTGTGTGGCAGCCCCCAAGATATTGGAACACTGCTATCATGTCAACCCTCATCCTTCTCTTCATTAAACTAGACATACCCAATTCCAGCAACTGTTCTTATATGTTTTAGCCTCCAGTCCCCTAATCATCTTTGTTGCTCTTCTCTATACTGTTTCTAGAGTCTCAGTGTAATTAAATTAAACTATTTATGTAATCAAATACAATTACACAAATACCTGATGATGATGTGGAAACAAACAAAAAGACAAAGAGAGAAAATGAAAAGAGAATCAGGTGTAAAAGGTAAAATAGAGACAAATGGCCCAAAATCTAAAACTGTTGTCTGAAAAGCAACTATCTAAAAGTGCTGAAATTAGGAAGGGGTAAGAATAATTAAAAAGATATGTTCAAACTAGAAGAAAAATATAGTTAGTCATACTATTTAGATATGCTCAAAATAGAAAGAAACGAAGCACATCATTACATCTGCTCAAGTAAAGATGGCAAAATGCTAATAAAATAACAAAGTAAAGGCAGAGTTACATAGCTTCTATGTTTGTTCATTCTTTTCCAAAAAAAACCATAAAAAAAGAAAGCCAAAAGGGCAATCCTGGAGCTTGAGACTGATAGAAACATGATCCTGGAATACATCTTTACTTCGTATATGTTTAAGTCTCCAGGACCAGATGATTATGTGGCTAAATTCTTAAGTGTTATCCAGGAAAATCCCTGAAGAGTAAAGCACTACAAGACTGGAAGAGGGCAAATGTTGCTTCTTCCTTCATAAAGAGGAAAAATAAAAATCTGTGAAATCCCAGATGAAAGAAGAATCTAGATATTTATTGTCCAGAGTCAATCCAAAATCAGTTTGATTCTGATAGTTGGGAAAATTCTAGAATATTGTAAAGACATTTATCTTTATAAGCAAATTGAAAACAATACAGGAATTATTGGAAATTAATGGAATTGTTTGAATTATTTAATACATTCTGAGAAAGATATAATATATTTTGTCTTCAGCAAAGCCTTGGACAGAATATTTCATTATATTCTGATTAGTAAGATGATTAAACATGGATTTGAATAGCATACAACTAAATAGCAAGGTAAAAAATCCTCTTAATGAGCATAAATGTTATCTAATGGGAAACATATCAAAAGGCCTTAAGGATCTCTCCTGGGTCTTCTTCTTTTCATTTTTTAATTAATAAATTAAGAGATGGGAGAGATTTTAAATTAAATATATTGAAAAATATAAATATAAATCCTAGAAGTCTATGGAGATTTTCAGTCATCCAGGTCATAGTTGTCCCAAAGGTATTTTCTAAATGTTTTTTCTTGAAGTTCTTTTGGACTAAATCCTAGAAGGCATAAGTAAAATTTAAAATATCTTCATACATTGGACAAAATAACAAAGTACTTTGTATACTGTAGCTACGTTGTATGTTGGCATTACTACTATACAGTACTTCAACATATTCCTTCCATCTTTCTTTGATCTATTTTGAATCAATTACTATCTGTCCACTGATATTTATTAGCATACCATACCATACCAACATTGGAACCTCATTCTGTATTCAGAAATCTTTTGGAAGACTTTCTTGTGTTTCTATGTCTGTTTCTTCTTCCATGTCTTTACAGATGGTGTTACAATATTATTTCTTGTCTCTTCTGACAATTCTCTGAAACTGACAAAAGAGCTTCTTCCTGAGATTTTTGTCTTTTTTGGCTTTGGACTCTCTTTTATTTTTTGCAATTTCAATGTTTCTTCTGACATCTCATTTAACCTGGACAACATCAGCAACCAATCCAAAAGACACATCATAAACATTATTAGTACTCTAAAAGATGAAAATGCCAAAGAGGATTTTATTTAGCAAATATTAAAAGAGTTAACAGAGACACATATTGCCAATCCATATGCCTAAAGAATGCCAAGGTATGGACTTCTAAATCATCAAATATGCAACAATCTCATGGGACTTTTGGCCATTGCCAAAGTTTAAATTGTCCAGAGACTTATTTTTCTTATGAGACAGAAAATACAAACAATAACACCTGCAGATGACATACCTTGAGAAGTGACCATGATTTTTTAATGTTAGGCAGTTAATTTATTTTTTCCTCCTCCTTTATCAGATGTTGTATACTAAAGATTCTCCTTTAGTAGATGTGGTCCTCTTTACCTTAATGGCTATAAGTAAGAATGTAAATATATGGCAAGCACAAGTATGCCATAACCATGTTGCAGTCACAAAACTCACTAAGTAGCCTCTGTGTTCAAGTGCCAACAAATACACTTACTGTACATTGCTTCGGTTAGTTAAGTAACCATTTCTGCACAGGTATTTTTTATATATACAAAGGGAAAAAGGGATCCACACCACTAATTCTTTTCCAATCTTCTTTAGTGCCTATGCAATAGTAACTAATGAAGTTATTATTACATAGTAACAAATGACAAAGTGACAAAAGTGACAAGTGACAAAATTAGTGGATCAGAGGAATGCTGTGGACATAATTTACTTGGACTTCAATAAGGCATTTGATAAAGTAGATCACAACCTACTACTTGATAAGATAGAAAAATGTGGGGTAGACAGAATCACCATCAGATGGATCCATAGCTGGCTGACCGGCTGTACTCAGCGAGTGGTCCTCAATGGAACTGCATCTATATGGAGGGAAGTGTGTAGTGGGGTGCCCCAGGGCTCTGTTCTTGGCCCAGTGCTCTTCAACATCTTCATCAACGATTTGGATGAAGGGATAGATGGGAACTCATCAAAATTGCAGACAACACCAAGCTGGCAGGAATAGCCAACACTCCAGAAGACAGGCTTAAGATACAGAAGGATCTGGACAGACTTGAACACTGGGCACTAACTAACAAAATGAAATTCAATGGTGAAAAAAGCAAGGTTCTACATTTAGGCAAGAAAAACCAAATGCATAAGTACAGCATAGGTGGCACCATGCTCAATAGTAGTAACTGTGAGAGGGACCTCGGAGTCCTAGTAGACAATCACCTAAATATGAGCCAGCAGTGTGCTGCAGCTGCGAAAAAGGCCAACACAGTGCTAGGCTGCATTAACAGAGGGATAGAATCAAGATCACGTGAAGTATTAATACCACTCTACAATGCCTTGGTAAGGCCACATTTGGAATACTGCATCCAGTTTTGGTCACCACGATGTAAAAAAGATGTTGAGAGTCTAGAAAGAGTACAGAGAAGAGCAACAAAGATGATTAGGGGACTGGAGGCTAAAACATATAAGGAACAGTTGTTAGAATTGGGTATGACTAGTTTAACGAAGAGAAGTACAAGGGAGGACATGATAGCACTGTTCCAATATCTCAGGGGCTGCCATAAAGAAGAGGGAATCAAGCTATTTTCCAAAGCACCTGAAGGCAGGACAAGAAGCAATGGGTAGAAACTAATCAAGGAAAGAAGCAACCTAGAACTAAGGAGAAACTTCCTGACAGTGAGAACAATTAATCAGTGGAACAGCCTGCCTCCAGAAGCAGTAAATGCTCCAACACTGGAAGTTTTTAAGAAGAAACTGGACAGCCATTTGTCCGAAATGGTGTAGGTTTTCCTGCCTGAGCAGGGGGTTGGACTAGATGACCTCCAAGATCCCTTCCAACATTACTACTATTACTACTACTACTACTACTACTACTACTACTACTACTACTACTACTATTATTATTATTATTACTAGTTACTTGTCTTCTAATTTGTTTTTTTATTTAATTTCTATAGCTACTCCTCTCAAACAAGTGACTTTGGAAGATGGACAATCATAAACTTGTTTCATAACAGGATACAATTATAGGCTATAAACACTAAAAAGGGAGGGGGGCTCTATGCAGTTCATAAGCTTTAAGAATTACCATAAATTTACTTCTACTTGAGAGATAAAGCTCTAAAACTTAATAATATTTCAAAATTTCCAACAAAGCTAACTAAAAATAAATTCAAAATCAAAAGAAAGCATCTGTCACTGACAGGTATTTTATATAGGACTGTTATTACATTTCTGGGGCAAACTTTATGTTTTGAGATATATATTACAAACAGAGGTTACCAGGAAGGGACTCTTTCTTCTTGATCTATTGATTTGCTCAGTACATTATGCATTAGTAAATGTTCAGAACTGCAGATAGTATGTGTTTTAAGGGATGAGGAATTTTTAAAAGGTCAAAAAAGCAATTGAGAGGAAATACAATTGTGTGCAATTATATTAAAGAGCAGACTTATACCGCTTATTTCATCTGGTGATTAGTTACTGAACTATATTTATCTGAATTGTAGTTGATTCAGTTATGCTAATGCTGAAAATGAGCAGTTCAGTTCTGTTTGGTTACTTGAAGTTCAAAGCATTTCTATTTTTATAGGCAAGTCATTACAAAGCCAAAGAATATTTTTAAATGTTAGAAACTCCCAGTTATATTATTTTGCACAATGCACTGAACTGAATAAGACATCTAAAATAGAAACCCAGCCATTATTATTTATTTAGCCTATGAGGAGAACATAACAGAAGTAAACATATATTAGTAGTCCATATAATTATAAATAAAATTTCTATGGGATAAAGCAGTGGCCTCATAACTGGATGTTATGAAGTAGTCATCTAGCTTTTGGAGATTGTGAGACAGGATGTCCTTTGCATTACCAAAGTTGGCTTTTTGGACTGTGAGATTAATATCATCAGCATTTATAAATTTCTGAGAAACAGTTTCAGGCAGGTTGCGGATGTACAAGTTAAAAAGAGCAGAATGGCACTGATCCTTGTGTAGTCCATTATTCAACTTAAGATATCTGCTTCTATTGAATTCTGTGAAAATTTAAAATAACCTGTTATTCAAAATGTTGTTAATCAAGGCAACGGTGTTACGACAAGGTATAACCTTGATTAGTTTGAGGAGAAGTCTTTCTCTCCAGACAGTATTGTAGGCTACCGAGAAGTCAATAAAGACATTTTTCATTTTCCTTTGGAATCCATACTCCAGGTAGGAAATTAATGCAAGAACTTGATTGCTACAACTATGTTTGGGGTAAAATCCAGTTTGTTCTACTTGGATTACAGATTCTATTGCTAGAACTATTCTGTTTAATACAAGTCTTTCTAAATATTTATAGGTGATACAGAGAAGAGAAATTGGCCTGTAACTTTGGGGAAAGTTTAGATCCTTCCCTGGTTTCAAAACTGAAATGATTTTGATCTTCTTGGATATAAGAGATAGCCATCCTGAATGTAGTATGAAACTAAAAAAGGAGGCAAGCCAATGTTTAGTTGCTGTCCATAGTTCTTCAGTAGTTCTGGATACATGCCATCAAATCTTGCAGCCTTATCATTATGTAAAGAATCCAGCTCTCTCTGCCTTTCTTCTGGTGTAAATGGGCATGAATATAAAGTATGTGAAAGATCATGCTTCCATGGTTTAAGTTCGGATCAAATTTGTTTGCCAAATTTCTTATATCTTGTTCTTGAAGTAGAGACAAGATAGTTAGCTATTGGATTCCACTCTGATGGGAATAATAGTCGCCTGCATCTGTAAGCATTCCTTAAGCTATACATACTTCTTGAGTGGTGCTAAATGGGTGGAAACAATCAGATGCAACCATATTTCCCTTTTGGGACTCACAACCATCACAAACCAAAGTGTATAAAATCAAATAGCCCTTTTGGAAATACCCACAGAGACTGGCCCCAATTTAATTATCTGCCAGCTTAACATTGAAGGCATCAACAGAGCCAAAGTGAATACTTGGCCAAGATCCAATGGATTATTCTGTTGACATTCTGGTACTTCAGGAAACACACATGAAGGATGACCAGGTTGACAGGTAGGGCTAAAATGTTTGGATGTAGAATAATAACAGTATTGCACAACCCTAAATACAGAATTGCGATTTATGTCAAGGATGATATTGACAGTTATAATCTCTTTCTTCAATTATTAATTCAACTACCAATCAGAATTTCTTCTCTATATCCATAGAATTACAGAATATTATCATCAATCATCATTAATATTTTCAAGCCTACAATGGACTGTTGGTCAGATCCTGTCTTATCAATGCCTGCGGGAGATAGTATTATTAATCCTTGGTGATTTCAATAGCCACCACACATCTTGGGCTATAACCAATGGATAAGAATGGGAATAGATTATCTGATTGGATTGAAATAAACAATCTTACTCTTACATATTATGCTAAAGATAGAAGTGAATTTTATTCTACTCGTTGGCAAAAGAATTATTCCCAGATCTTTGTTTTCAACATAGTCCTATAATCTACAGAATAGGACTCCAGATTCCAGTAATTAGGTCCACCTCTAAATCTCATTGGAACTTCCAGAAAACAGATTGGAATACTTATACTAAGCACACTGATGTTAACATCAGATGAATCAAAGCAGTCCTTAAGAACCACAACAGATTTATTGGCTTATACCAGCATCAAATTCCTGGATGTGCAGCTAACAAATAGGCTGGCTTGGTCGCTCAACAGCAAGACACTGGTGAAGTGGCCACAGCAGCACCTGCATTTTCTGCATTGCATGAGAAAAGCACATCTTCCTTCTATCCTTACCACTTTCTACAGGGGGACATTTGAGAGCATCCTGTCATACAGCATCATAGTCTGGTTTGGAAGCGTCACTGCTTCAGACAGGAAGGAGGTGCAGAGAGTGGTGAGGATGGCCAAAAAGATCATTGGCAGTTCCCTCCCTCCCATCCAGGACAGAGCACAGAAGCGCTGCTTGAGCAAGTTCTGCAAGATTGTCTGGGACACTACACATCCTCTTCATGACCTGTTTTCCTTGTTACCTTCTGGGAGGAGGCTTCGTGGTATCCATAGCAGAACATCCAGATTCAGCCATAGTTTCATTCCATACAGCATTAACCTTGTGAACTCTCAAGCTTCCTCCTTCCGTTATATATTCAAGATGGACAGTATTTAATATTTATTTGTTATGTGTATGTAAGGGTGTGGGTCTATGCATACATTTAGATGTGTGTCATGTATGTGTTTCACTTTGAAAGTGGGCAACTAAATTTCACTTTTGATGTGTGCCGTTGTGCCCATAGTAAAAAAATGACAATAAAAGTTATCTTATCTTATCTTATTCTCAGAGGCTACCATAAAGCTTATGTCTCTGAGAAGACAAGTCACTTGTGCACCAAGCTTGAACAAGACAGTAATCTGAAGAAAGCAATTGAATTGCTGAAGTCCCCGGAAAGAGTCAGGAAATCAAAATGATCCAGGACTGTAGAAAATCTAAACTTTACACAGGAAAGTCTGGTCCCTTATCTGAAAATTGAACTCATCATCCATACTGTCAAGAAACATTCTACCCAGCCATTTTTCTCATATTTTGTTCATCTGTTAATTATATTCCTGGATTAGTCTTAAATATTTATCATCCCTCTTGGAAAGAACAGCCCACTGGAATCTCAACAACAGATTGTCATATTTCTTCCTGGGGCCAAATTCCATATTATATGTAGAATTGCTAAGTTTACAGCTAAGACAGTTGGCTTACAAATCTGAGACATTGGGGTACCCAATATTTAATTACTGTCTCTTTGTATTAATACATATAAAATAATCACTTTATTTCCTCCTAATTTATTTCAAAATTAGACTATATACTATTTTATTTTATTTTATTTTATTAAGGCTGCAAGACTAATCAATCAATAAACTATTACCTAAAATAGAAAATAGTTTTTAGATTTTGGAGTTGATAGTGTAGGTATTGTTGAGGATGAGGAGGATGGGGGAGGATGAGGGGAAGGAAAAGAAAAAAATGTTTCTATAATAATATCAGCACTAAGTAATAACTAGCATTTGAATATATTTAGAACAATGGTTCTTAAACTGGGGATAATCATCCTCAAGGGAATAATTGAGGTATATCCTGGGCATGATGGAACAATTTATAATTGCTTTTATATGATCAAGGGTCAGTTTGGGACCAAGGCTGATGAGATCCCTGTGTAAAATAACATAGTATGGTTGGTTAGTTGGTTGCTATTTTGTTTTTTGTGGAGGTAATTATAGAGTAAAATATAGGCTTATAATAACATTCTTGGACAGGTCATCAGTTTATTCCCATATTTAAAATGATATCCTACTTTATAAATTAAAGTTGAATCAGAAATCTCTTAAAAGAATGTGCAGTACAAACTTACACATGTATATCATAGCTAACAAAAATGCCCTATTGAAGTATGAATTTTAAAGCTCACATCTAAATTCTTAAATATATAGATAAATTAATACTGTAATCATAAACACACTCAACTGAGAATAAAATCTATTAAATATATGTATGGAATTGCAGTGAATGTTTCTATTAACTTTGTATACCAAAATCCCATAAGACTAAAGGGATTGCAGTGCCCTTTTTCCCCTCTCAACTTGAGGAGTGGGGGGGGAGTCATTCTGAAACTTAATTTTGGAGAAAAAAAATTAAAAAATTGCAAAGCCCAAAAACCTCACTCCTTTGAACATAGTCTCATCTTTGCCTAGCTCTGTTAGACATTCTGTTAACAAATAACTTGCCTATATTCTACAAGTAGTGGTTTTCTACAAGCAGTAGTATCCCTATAGCAACAAGAGATCCATTAGACGGGGAGTTCATTTTTCATTCCTATTTTCCTTTCTTTCATTGTGTTTATAAACTATTCAATATGTCCTTCCATTTATTTTGCAAAATGTTCTTGCAAAATCACAGAACATAATCATTTTAGATTCAAATGTTCTTTGAAAAATTGTCCTAAATTATTCCTGTTTCCTGAAACAGTTCAAGTACTTTGGTGATTGAATTTATTCTTTTGCTGTTTTTCCCCCCAAAATGAATCTCACCAAGACATTAAGCAAACCTTGAATGATTTATGCATCCCATCGGAACTGCCTGAAATTGATGATCTTGCATATTTTCCAAAGAGAACAAAACATTGTTTCAACTGATGTTGGTTTTCAGCTTGAAAACTCATTTGAAAACTAGATACATAGAGATTGAGACTCTCTATGCAAGAGTTGAAAAGGTATTGGGTAAACTGATTGGCACTTTTCCAATTTACAAATTCAGATATTGGCTTGCAATCATAATATTATCTTAGATGTGTTTAACACACAATGATGCTGTTCACCAACCATACATTTAGACGTCTAGCTGAAGGACCACACACATAGTTTCATTTTTCTACCTTTCCTTCTACCATTCAACATCCTTTACATCATATCAAGCACTGATCCAGTCAGAAAAAGAAAAATCAACATCTCCATTTCCAATTACCAGAAGCATTTTTTTCACCAATGCAAGGGATGAAATATCTTTTGAATCTCTACCTTAAATTAATAGAAGACTGCACTATTTTCATCTGAAATTCAGGTTTTTAAGCTCAGTTCTTTTATGGCAAATTATGTCCAGCATTTCCAAAACATTTGGCAGGGCCTGTTATTGGACACCTGCTAAAGGTCCACAGTCCAACCAAAATCAATCAATGAGTCCTGGAGTTTGCAAGTATTATATTCTTTTTTTATTTTTCTGTTCTCCTGGGTATGCAAGTAATGATGAAACAAATAGAAAAATGCAGAATGCTCCTGTTTATTTATTTACTTATCTCCCACCTTTATTTTCACAAATAATTCAAGGCAGCGAACATATCCAACACACCTTCCTCCTATTTTCCCCATAACAATAACCCTGTGAGGTGAGTTGGACTGAGAGAAAGTGACTGACCCAAGGTCACCCAGCTGTCTTTCATGATTAATGCAGGACTTGAACTCATGGTCTCCCGTTTTTAAGCCTGAGGCCTTAAACACTAGGCCAAACTTGCTCTCTATTTGTTTTCTTACTCTACAGAGTTTGTGCACAAACAGAGAGGAAAAATAAATGGGCAAAAGCAACTTTGATAAATCTACTTACTATAACCATAACAAGGATAGCATTGTTATTCATCTGCAAAACAAGAAGCCAACTAAACAGGGCAATCCTTTTGTAAGTTGGAGACATACAACTTGGGCGTTATTGCATGACACCCAAATTGGGCTATCAAGGCCTTGCCGGCTCTGAAGACAACCATGAGAAGGAAGAACAGAAACCTTAAAGTTTCCCCTCTTCAATTAATGCCCAAATTGCAGGCTCAGGTATCTTAGGTTTGATCTGCACTTCAGCATGAGGATAAACCACCCACTATTTGAAAGGACAAAAATGAATAGTGTTATCCTCAGATCATCCATAACCTGCTGGGAAGATGGCTTTCATCTATTTTTTCTTGTTCTCTGCTAAAAGTATTTTTCCCATCTATGAGATAAGCAAACCTCTTCAATTTACATCCAATCTACAAGTAGTCCTCAAATTACAACTATTCGTTCAGTTACTGTTTGAAATTACAGTGGTGCTGAAAAAGGGAATTATGATCCCTCTGCAGTTCTGATCATTGTAGAGCCCCTCCAGTCACATGATTAAAATTCAGGTTCTTGGCAGTGTGCTCACCCTTATGGCCATGGAAGCACTGTAGCTCTCTCCCACTCTCATGGGAGGCCTCAGCTGGCTAGGCCAACTCTATGCAGACACATGCCACAGACCAGAAGGCCTCGACCAACTCTGCCTCCCTTCTATCCCCTCCCACTCCTATGACACCTGGGCCTTCCCCCTGCTTCATCAAGTCTATTTATTTTTCTCTTCTCTTGCAGCTACTGGCAGGCACATCCACTTATGCAAGGCTTAGCTAGAAAGCTAGTAAAGGCAGTCTTTCACAAGGCTGGAAAAAGACTACCCTTGAGGAAGATTGTCTTTGCTAGTGTAGCAGGGCTGGCTGAAAGACTTTGTGGGAGCCTGCCTGGGGAGAGGGAGGCTCAGACAGCTGCCGCCAGTTTTGGGCGTGGCAGGCGTGGATTGGGCAGAAGGAAAGAAAAAAGAGGAAAGAAAGGTGGTGGGGTGGGTTTTGTTGCTGTTGTCAGGGAGAGACCAGGGGAAGTTGGAGAGGGATTTGAGGTTTTAGCTGATCCCTCTCTCTGAAGGAGAGGGAAGGAGAGAGTGAGAGAGAGTGAGAAGGTGGAATTTTATTGCTTTCTTTCACAAGGGGGGATATCCTGAGCAGAGGAGAGAGAGAGAGAGAGAGAGAGGGAGAGGGAGAGGAAAGAAAGAGAGAGAGACAGAGGAAAGAGAAAGAAAGAGAGGAAAAAGAAAGAGAGGGATGTCTAAAAGAACTGAACAGAGCACCGGGACCTGCAGTCACTTCATTAAAAGATAAAGTGACTTCACAACTTTTAATTTAAAATGCTGTGTGCTGATTATGAAATGTAGCTTATTCAACAGACCACAATTAAAAAACAATATGAGTTATTGTGATACAATGGATTAAGTGATGTCAAATTGCTTTTCCTATTTATGTACAAATAAGCATATGAACATGAGTTGTGGGGGTTGCTAAATTCAGATTTTAACAATAAAGAGAAGGGGGAGGGGTTTTGATGCTGACGAGACCTGGAACTGTGAGCGATGACAGAAGAGAAGGAGAGGCTGGTCACTGTTACTTT